GCATTTAAAAACATCAAATTGATAGCCCTGTCATCTGTGCCCATAGGCTACTGCTGCCTGCCCCAGCCCTCCCACCAGGACTCTGCCTTTGAAGGCGAGAGCTCTGCTGTGCGAGTGTCCGCAGGGACATGCATTTTCTTTCCTGCAGACTTGTTGGTTGTCACCAGTAAATATCCAGCCAGGCTCGTATTGTCCACTTGTTCTCGCCAGCTTCCTGGAAAATATTGATACCAATACCAGATACTGATAGCAGAGGTTCGTTCCCAAAGGCACATGATCAGACTGGGAAGCGTTCTTTGTGATTCATAGTCAAGCTCTGGAGACTTTGCAATTTATGCAAAATGTTAAGCAGTGTTCTCTACCTGTGATTTTTTGACAGGTACGTGGAGAAGTTTTTCTTATTTTTTGAGCTTGCTCTGTCTTCGAAGAGGCTAAGTGGTAATCAGGAGTGTTGTTTCAGGTGAAGGCACTTACGACTTGTAGCCGTAAAACACAGGTCTTTATAATAAGGGAAACTGAGAGGAGCATTTAACCTGGAAAGAGAATAAAAAAGGCACAAGCATCCATAATCACTGACTTCCTTAATTCCTAAAGACTCCTCAATCCATCTTGTACTTCATTGCCTCTGTATTTGTCAGTGTGTCTAACTGATACAACAGAGGCTACTGCCGAGCAAGATAGACCCAAGGTCCTGCCCATCAGTGATTAGCCCCTGTCCCTGCTGAAACCCCCCCCTTTTAGTAGGTGCAGTCCAGACTGGCTGTGCAGCATCTATCCAGGCTCAGCCCCCTTCTTCTGACATATGTGCCTCGCTAATACTAATCCCTTTGATTTCATTTCTGAATAACCTCATGAAGGAGCTTCTGCAGAGTAAGATTTCTCCATTTCAGTTCCGTTACCTTTGAAAATCCTGAAGGTGCTTGAAGAATGTTGTCGACAACATTCAGAAGCAGCTCAGCAATCCCTCTTGCTCCTGCTTTGCAAGCAAGATCGAGGTGCTGGAAGCGCAGGGCTCCGAGGCCAGCCAGCGCGCCCTGGGCTGCCCCTGCGCTTCCCAGTAATTGATGTCCTGTGTGTTTCAAGCTTCTTTCATTTATGAAGCTTTGCGTTATATTTCAATGCAGGTGTGAAATCTCATTTGCTTCTTTCTCGGAGGTTTCTGCCTCCCTAATAGCATTGGCTCAGGCGGGGAGAGGACGCCGGCAGGCACTGGCAGAGGTTCGCAGCTTGCTGTTCGCAGCCGGCGACGCGAGAGGGGGAACGCGAGCCCTCGCACCGTTGCAGGGGGGTGTTCGGGAGCTGTGCGGGCGAGCTCCCTGCCTGCCGCGCTCTGCTCGGGAGGTCGCTCCCTGCCTCACCTAGCGAGCCAGACCTGCTCCTGTGCCCCAATGAATGTGTAGGCAAGCAGAGGGCTGTGTTGCAGGCTGCACTTCTGCCTGCACATCCGAAGACGGTGTTTTCTCAGCAGAATGTTGTTCTGACATCGTGCTGTGTGTGTGATGCTCTGCAACCCCAATCCAGATCCTCTTCTGCTGTGTAAGAGGGTCTTTATTCACCTCTTGGTAGTTGAAAATATTCTGCTGGACCTGTTTTCCAAAGATAGAAAAGGGAGAGTCTGTGAAAACAGTGTTTGAAGGGATTTACTGCTTTCACATTTTGATAGAAATTATTATATTGTTTAATTTTAGTAAGAACATTTCATTTTGATTGTATCATTTCCTTTGTATTTCCTTTTGACTGCTGAAACAGAATACAGGCAGAGAACTGAAGCAGTAAAACTGAAGTGTAATGTTTTGAAAAGCTATTTAAAAAATTAAAAAGAATTGTAATTAAGAGAAAAATCAAGTTTCACTACCTTGAAAACCTCCATGAAATGGAAATGCTGCTTTTGTATCTGTGCTATTTATAACACATAAGAAGTCCAGGAAAGGAAATCTGGCCTTTTTAAAGGTCCTACTGAACTACCCATTTCTTTCCAGTGCTATATATTTAGAGCTAGTGCAGTCAGGGTTTGACTAGGAAATGTATATCCATCACAAGGGGGCATATAAATTTGGTAAGTAATTTCTGCTGGATGGTATAAGCTTTAGGGGCTTTTAAAGTCAAATTTGCATCTCAGACTACTTTTGCTGAAACATTTGAACTTCAGTCAATGACTCAATTCATATTTGTGCAATGAGTGCAAAGCTCCTGCTGTGCCCCTGGGTCCAGTAGCCCTAGCAGATGGGTACGTTAGAAGTATTTCTTGGTGCTGTGCAATTCTTAAACTGTATACATATACCTAATCCAACACATCATGGCCACAGCAGTAACTTTCATCCCTGCAAATAAATAATTAAGTTAAAGTATTAGAAAACCCCCTAGCTGTTTTGTCTCTTGTGGTGAAATCCAGCTCTCAGGGCGATACTCTGACTGTCTTCTGGCCGGTTCATTTTGGTCTTGTCTGCTTCCGCAATGCCTCTGATGCCTCCGGTCTTATATCATGAGACATAACTTAGCTTTGTATGATAAATGTGTTGGGGGGGAGACATACCAGCTGAAACTGCCTATGAAAACACTTCTTAATTTTTGTTTAATTCTTCAGACTTGAAACAAGAAAATGTCCAGCTGAACACAGCTGAAAATTTTTCTAGTAAGTCCATTTTCTAAACAAAAATCTTTGTTTGCACTTTCCCAAAGGAAAGTAAGCACATTTTTAAGGAATGCACACACTTTTCAATTCGCTTTTCCCACTTCAGTGCCAGCTTTGGCAAAGACGCATCGCCTGGCGCGGCAGAGGTCCTTGGTCCCGCTACTCACAGGACAACCAAATTGTCCATCTCACCAAAACACATCCCAGTGTTACCTCATCTCCTGATTGTCCTGTAGTTGCCAGATGCTCTAATGGGATGTTTTGGCTGACATCTCAACGCAGGAAGCTGTGTCAGAGCTTGCCTA